TCAACCTTCCTTCCGAGGAATGGCTGGTGGGTTTGAACCGCCAGTCTTCTGGTTAGCAGTCAGGTGCCTTAGGCACTATGCTACCAGAGCTCCTAGAACCTTAGATAGGAGGCCATATTTTCTTTCCTTAATTAGAAAAAAAACAATGAAAAAAAAGCAGACATCGTTTGAGATTCCCACACAATGTCAAGTTTTAAACATTCCCAAACCAAGCAGGTCTGTAACCGCAGGAAACTGGAATGATTTGAAACAGCAGGTGACTTTTCTAACAAAGCTGTGGGTCAGGCTAGCTCCTTGCCACCACAAAGCAAAAGGAAAGGAATATTTTCCCCTTTTTAAAAAAGCATCAGCATAACTCGCTGACTCTGCAAATGTTTTTCCCTATTATAGCTTAGAAAAGAACATGACTTGGAGGCCTCTGTACCCTTAGGCCTTCCTCCCGCCCCCGACTGTACCATTTAATGTTAGTTACTGGGGTGACTGAACAAGATAGGGAATCAATTATTAATTGCCAAACGTTTTCCCCCACACTCTGCATGGCAGCCCTGGCTACTTTTGGTTAAGATGATAATATGGTTAGCTCAAGGGCTTGCTCTGCTTGCAAGATCATGCCACTGTAAGCACCGAACTTTGGACTGCAGCTGGGGGTGGGGTAAGCCACAGCATTATAAATACCAGAGGTTCGCTGTGGCTCTGTGGATCTGTGCAGCTGAGCAAAGAGAAAGGAAGCAGATACACTGGAAGGGATTTTGTAAGTAGATTTATTTTTTCACATTTGATTCTTTCAGGGCTTGGTAAATCTTTTGTTTCTGAGTCTGATAAAATGTTTCTCCCCTTAGACTAGTTTTTTTTTTTTTTTTTTAAGAGATAAAGGAAATAAGGAAAGGGATAAAAAGAAAAAGAACCAAAGTCTGAAGCTGAATGTGGTGGGCGAAGTTCTGCAGTGGACACATAAGGCAACGCTTGTTGATTTCTGCTCTGTCTTCTGCAAGTTGAGGATGAAGGTGGCAGTGGGGAAGGCTGGAGAGACCTAGCATTTTTGCTCTGCGAAAGGTTGTTATTGATGTATAGGCAATATTAGGTACTCAGACTGAAATACTTCCAACTGAAATAGAATGAGAACTGTAAGGGTAAATGGCCCCATGGACATGAAGACAGAGACTGAAATATGCCTATTCTAGAGCAGTGTAGCAGGGATATTGTGAACGGTTCCAGAAAGAAAAAAAGGGGAGTGGGGCAGAGCGGGTTTGGTTTATAATGCAAAAGTCACCCTGAAAAGAGTTAAAATTCATGTCAGTCAGGTGATCTGTTATTAAATCCAAAGTTTTAAAACTTTTGCATTTAAGTGGTGAGTGGGTGTTTTAGGTGTAATAGAATCTCAGACAGTCTGAAGTTCAGGGGAGAAATGGAGAAAGCTTTTGCTTGTCCTGCCTTCTAATGGGACATTTTTTTAAGCCTGTGTGAGGACAAAAAGGAGCTCTAGTGGCAGTGTGGTTAAAGCACTGGGGTGCTAACCAAAAGGTTGGTGGTTCAAACTCATCAGCTGCTCCATGGGAGAAAGATGAGGCAGTCTGCTTCCAGAAAGATTTATAGACTTGGAAACCCTATGAGGCAGATCTATGCTATAAGTTGCAATCAACTTGATGGCAGTGAGTGTGTGGCAAACAAGTCTAGGTTTTGTGTTAGAAAAGTGATAAATTAGTGAAGTCTACAACTACTTTCACTTATTCCAGTAAATCTATTTTTATTATTCATCATCATTATTTTTATATAGCTAACACTTAAAATTATACTCAAAAGTCTATTGTGTAAAAATATGATCTTTACAAACAATAACAAAATGGAGCAGCCTACTGATTATTATAACAGAGGGAAAGTCTCAAAATGTGAAGTCTGAAATCTACTCCCCTCTGCCAATGGCGTTAGTTATTTTCTCATCAAAAACTAAAGGAGTGTAATGCGTGATTGGTTGGTTGGTTGGTATGTGCCGTGGAGTCGGACCCGACTCCTAGCGACCCCTCCTTGGGTTTCCGAGGCAGTATCACTACGCAAGTAGATTGCCCCATCTTCCTTCCGAGGAGTGGCCGGTGTGTTTGAACCCTCAGCCTTCTGGTTAGCAGTCAAGTGCATTAGCCACTATGCTACCAGAGCTTCCCGTGTGTGAAATAGCCTTGTCATTTACATTCACTAGCCAGTTATAACTGCTTGCTATGGGGTAAAGTGAGGGCATCAAGTGCAGACTTTGTGCTCAAGTTTCTGTGACTAGTGAATTTATATTCTAAAAAGTTGGGCAAGTCCAGCCATCCTAGTAAGAAATGAAACATCTGGATTTACTTATTTTTTTTTAATGCTTTTTTTTTTTTTGCAGTCTTAGAGAATTAAAACAACAAAGCAAAAAACATCCAGCTGCTAAAGTTATTGCAAAACATGATCTAAAAAAAAATCAATATGGCTCAGCGGTCATGTTTGAATTCAGTGGAACTGGTTTGAATCCAGTCTATCTTGTGACTTACTACCTGTGTACACTTGGGCAAGATGCCTAGACTTTCTCACAGCCATGTTTTCCTCAACTCCAAAAAAGGGGTAATGGTCATAGAGTTGTGACCAGCTGACATATAAAAATGCTTGGCACCACCTGCATACACTGTGATAAATGCTCATAAGTGGCACAGCTATAATAATAATATTGTATTAATATAAATATTTTCCTAAAGAAATTTCTTAGATTTAGTTCAGCTACATTTTATTTTTTTAAGTAATAGAATTGTTTAAATATTAGAACAAGTATGGGAATGGCCTTAAATAGTCATTTAATTTATCACCCACCCTCCTTCCTGGTGGCATAGTGGATTAGGCATTTGGCCGCTAACCAGAAGATCAGCAGAAATCCGATGGGGGTCACTATGAGTTGGAATCGAATCGATGGCAGTGAGTTTTTTTTTTTTCCAAGTCCCTTTTTTTAGTTAGGTTCTCATCAAATATCCTACCATAGGTAGGAATTTTGAGCTTAAATTGATCTGATTTTAACTTCTATTCTCCTCTTAATTCTGAGCTAAATCTAGGCAACATATCATTAGTCCTCCCCCCACATCACACACACACACACACACACACACACACACACATCACACACACACACATGGAGCGTTTTAGCTTTTTCAGGTACTGAAAAGGCACCAACTTCCTAGTTCTGGAATTTTGTCCTGATTTTCCTCTACACACTCCCTACAAAATGAGCCTGGTGTACCTGTGTGGATTTTTCCTCTCTGCTCACCTCTGCTGAGTGTGCTTTTTTCCCATTACTTTTCTCCAATTCCCCTTTTATTCATAATTCTTTACTGAGAGAGCTAATCCTATTTTTGGTAATATTTTTGGTGTAGTTCCGTAGTGATACCACCTCGGAAACCCAAGGAGGGGTCGTTATGAGTCAGATCCGACTCAATAGCAGTGAATTTGTTTTTTTCTTTGTTTAGTATCTAACCTGTTGTTTGTCAGGTATCTATTTTGTCAGGTTTGTGCCTGGTCCCTGTTTAGATAAGTATCAGTATACGTCAGTAATGGTTGCATGCGTGTTGCTCTGATGCTAGAAGTCATGCCACCAGTGTTTCAGATACCAACAGGGTCACCCTGGTGGGCAGGTTTCAGCAGAGCTGTCAGACTAAGACAGACTAGGAAGAAAGGCCTGTCCATCCACTTTTGAAAAATCAATGAATGGAAACCTGCAGATCACCCAGACTATGACCTGATGTAGTGCTGGGAGGTTAGTTTCCTAGGTTGGAAGGCACTAAAAACACACTGTGGCCACAACTCTGTCATAACAACAATCACGAAGATAGTGCAGGGCCAGACTGTGCTTCCTTCTGTTATGTACAATGTCACATGAGTGAGAGCCGACTTGATGACAACTAGGAGCTCTGGTGGCTTAGTGCCTAAGGCATTTGACTGCTAACCAGAAGGCTGGCAGTTCAAATCCACCAGCCACTCCTCGGAAGGAAGGTTGGGCAATCTACTTCCCTAGTGATACTGCCTTGGACACCCAAGGAGGGGTCGCTTTGCATCGGGTCTGATTTGATGGCAGTGGGTGGGTGGGTGGAATGACATTTAATTTTTTACCTTCCCCACTCAGAGGGGCACATTTTATCCAAGAATGTAACATCTCATCACGGAAGCTTCTGCAAAGTAGTTGTAGTCAATAAACAGACCAATTAAGTGTAGGTTTCAGTGAGTCTTAAATGACACAGAGGACAGTGATTTGTGATATTTCTCCTCTGTCAGGTTTCCTCCCCCCTTGTTACATGCTTATCTTGAGTGTGGTACTACCACAATGGCTGGGAGCTTTGTAGCTGAAGAGATTGAAATACTTTAATGCTGAAATGAAACTAGACTTTGAGTAATAAGAGGAGCAAAAGGGAGCCATATGCAGAGATTTACAAATACAGAAGGTTTGAATCTGAGGAGCTAAGGGTTCAATATGAGCCACATTTATGCTGGTAGACTGTCCTCACTGTCATTTCCCTTCCTCCTGGGTTCTTTTCCTGAGTCTGGTCATTACTGTGCACAGTTCCCTGTATAAACCTTCCTTCCTTATATTGGCAGAAGAGGACGGAAAGAAGGAGGCAGAACTTGGTGTGTCTCAAGTCAAAGTCAGATAGCATTTGCAGAACATTACTTGGTTACAGAGTTCACAGTCTCAATGTTGTTCTAACCATGTGCCTTCTCTTAGAGAAGTACTTGGCCGCTTTGTTAGAAAATGTCAATGGTGTGCTTTTTTCTAGAATACCTTGCTAAGCCAGATACTTAAGTGCTTTGACATCTCCCCTGCCTCTGGCTGATACCTTCCCCTTTATAGGAAGATTTAGTGAAGGCAGTCCAATAACATGGAGAGAGAATCCATGGGCTAGGTACTTATGAGAAGAATAATGATACCTGCTGGATTTATGGAAATTCCCAGTGCTACAGATCTGTGAAGGTGACAGAAAGGTTTTCTCTTTTACAGGACAATCCCAGCAATGTGGAGGAGTCTGGGGCTTGCCCTGGCTCTCTGCCTCCTCCCTTGGGGAGGAACCGAGAGCCAGCGGCAAAGCTCCGTTTGTAAGAAACCCCCAGCCTGGAGAATAAGGGAGGAAGACCCAATGCTGAACTCAAATGGTTCAGTGACCGTCGTTGCTCTTCTTCAAGCCAGCTGAAACCTGTGCATTCTGCAGGCATCTAGGTAAGGGAGCCTTTCTGCGGTCTAGGCTTTCTTACAGGGGAAAGCAAAGAAATTAATAAAAATGGAAGAGATACATTCATTAAATCACATTATTGGAAAAAAATTATACATGTTTGCAAAAAATGGGCTGAAAGAAACAAGACTAGAGGATATACATCAAAGTGTTTACAGTGGTTTTCTTGGGTTATGAATTTTTTTTTCTTCTTCTGTACATACATAACTTTCTACTAAATATATTACTTGTTCAATGAAGAAATATACTCCTGAAAATGGATCTACTACTTCAATACAGAAAGCAGAGGAGGAGAGTGCTTTGCTAGATAGAATAAACACTAGATATATCATCGAAAGTCCTGGGTTATTTAGTAAATATACATTAAAAATATACAATAAATATAACAAATATATGTGTTGGGTTACTTACCAAATATTTTTTTTTTGGTAGAATTCTCTATATATGTAAAAGAGGAAAAAATTTATACTTTATAGGATTAATTTGAAGAATAAATGAGCTAATGTGTGTATGCATTTAGCATAAAGTGTTAACTGAGCACAAGTATTCAATAAATAACTTAGAAAATGGAAGTTTTAGAATCATAACAATATAAAGAAGAGCTATGGGTAAATTAAAAATAGTAAGAAGGAGAGTCTTAAGAGAAAAAAAAAAATAGTGAATGAGGAAGACAAAATAAACTACTAAGAAAATTAAGAGATATTATTTATTTTATTTATTTTTCCTGAATCTTTCAGATTGGAAGACCTGCGAGTAAAATTGGAAAAAGAAGGCTATTCTAATATCTCCTATGTTGTTGTTAATCATCAAGGACTTGCTTCTCAATTAAAATATATACATCTTAAAAATAAGGTTTCAGAGCATATTCTTGTCTATCAACAAGAAGAAAACCAAACAGATGTCTGGACTCTCTTAAATGGAAGCAAAGATGACTTCCTCATATATGACAGGTATGTTCTCTCTCTCTTATACAAAATCAAGGAGAAGATGCTTGCTTTATATTTAATTAAATTGTGAGTTGAAATGACATGTGCTCAGCTTCAAAATAAGCCCATTAAACTGTTTGGTTTTAATACTTTTGAAATGGCTTTCTTGAAAGTAAAACAATCAAAAGAATTCATTCCAGGAGGAAAACAAGGAAAATTGACCATATTTTCCCTTGAATATTGGCATTCTGATTAAATAGAAAGGAGGGCCAAAGGAAGGATCAATTTGTGTTCCACATATAATTTTAATCTAAGTATTTTGAAGATGAGTAACATGACCAAACTTGGCTTGCGTCTAAAATAATTTATAATTTTAAGGTTACATCCTTGCATTTTTTAAACTGTAAAATGTGTTAATCATTTAGGCATAATCTTCACTAATCTGCTTTTGGTTATATGAACAAATAAAACGTTCATGTTTTGAAAGTGCCTCCATGCATCCATTATCTGCTATTACAAATACTGCCAATTGGTGCTTTGTTTTCTTCTGGTTCTTCAGAGGTGGTGTGCCAGCCTCTGTCCAGACCTAAGCTCTACTTGGCCTTACACTAAATATGTTTTAATATTACATTTCATTCTTTTAGGCCTCCAAATTTCTAATTTAGTTAGTTGTTAGGTATAACCCTTTGATGGCACATAGAACAGCATATATTGGGTAAAATGTAGGCAAGAAGGACATGTCAACCTTGCCATTTCTGAGAATGACCAGTGTTATTTTTTCATTTCCTTAGTTGTGCTGAAATTTTTGTTGCATCAGGTAAATTTTTAAATAAATGAGCTACTGGCCAAGGCTTGATATCTTTTTGTTACATTGTGACTTTTTTGTGTGTGGAATTTTTGCTGCCATAAGCTGTTATGGGAAGCTGATGTAATTTCCAGGCCATGTCTATGATAAGGCTGTGGTCTGGGTATTGGTAAACTTTCTATGTCAATTCCAAAACTGTATTTGACCAAGTAGTAATGACTATACTACACGTTTTTAATAGTGTATAGCACTACATATCTGTAACATTTCACAATTCTATTATTAGACTCACTAAAGCCTTGCCATGACATTCCTTAGCATGAGTGTCAGGAAGCTCTTCTGTAGACTCCACCTAAGGAAATTTAATGAAGATATAAATGAAAGAGAATCACTAAGCCTGTAATATCTACCCCAAACCAAGCCAAGCCCACTGCCATCGAGTCTATTCCAACTCATAATGACCCCAATGGGTTTCCAATGTTGTAAATCTTTATGGAAGTAGATTGCTCATCTTCCTGCCATGGAGCAGCTGGTGGGTTTGAACCAATGACCTTTTGGTTAGTAGTCAAATGCCTTACCCAATATGCCACCAGAGGTCTTTATAATATATAACCCAGATAGTTTTTTTTCAAAGGTTTTATTGTGTTTTAGGTGAAAGTTTACAAATTAGGTTCCCATTTAACAATTTCTATACAAACTGTTCTGTGACATTGGGTCCAATTTTCACAATGTGTCAGCATTCTCACTATTTCTGTTCTGCTTGTTCTGGTTCCATAGATCTAGCTTCCTTGACCCTCTGTCGCCTTCTCATCTACGGTTTTGGGTAAATGTTGACCATTCAGTTTCATACAGTTGATTGTTTAAGACAGCAAAGTACTAACGGGTGACACTTTTTATTTCATAAGCCAATCTATTATTTGGTTGAAAGGTGACTCCAGGAGTGGCTCCAAACAGTTCTTGAGTAGGATTGTGATATAGAAAATATTGTAATGATTTTGTATTTGTCCTTTTTTCAGATGTGGCCGTCTTGTATCTCATCTTAGTTTGCCTTACTCCTTCCTGACTTTTCCATATGTAGAAGATGCCATTAAGACTGCTTACTGTGAAAAGAAATGTGGAAACTGCTCTCATATGGTATGTTTCTCAATTTTTTTTGATGGGAGAAAAGACAAAATATTTTAAAAGCTATCTAAATAAGTTAGTGTTATGTCCAATTAGTTAATCAATGTTTCTGTTGGCATACTAAAAAGAAAATATAAAAGTAATTTTTATAATTACACATTTCCTGTTATATAACCTTCAAAACACAAAAGTAATTTTTATAATTACACATTTCCTGTTATATAATCTTCAAAACACATTTTCAAGATACATACTTCTGCCTTTGTCTACAAGGATTTATAAAAATAACAAGCAATACAGATTGCATATTTCAGTTAAAGTCAAGTGGTGCTGCATGAGGACAGGTACTTGTTCTCGTTCCCTAGTGCCGCTCTGATGAGAAATATACCACAATGGGATGGCTGAACAAACAGGAGTTTATTCTTACAATTTGGAGTCTTTAATTCCAAGTTCAAAATGCCAGGCTCTAGGGGCTGGGTGAAAGCCACTCAACCTTGGGGTCCAGCTCTGCCTCCTGCTCCCGGCCCACTGGAGCTAGAGGCTTTTCTTCACTCAGACAGCTGCAGGCTGCTGAGGCTGAGAAGCCCCAAAGTTGACAAGAAAAAGACACAGTCCAGATGTTACCAAACCACACAGCAGGCCATTAACTTAAGTCCATTGTAAGTCCCAAGGCTGGCAGAGCATAGTAGGCTGCTGAGCAATGACACGGCTACGTGCAGGGTCCAAGTGTGCCATCAGCTGGAGACCATTCTCAAAGCTTCTTCTTATATACAGGAAGCAGACCACATAGTACATTCCACCATGGAGTTGATTACCAGTGCCATCATGGGGAATACTACATCCAGCTTCCCAGCCACTCAACCAGGCCTAGCCAAGTTGGCATACAAACATAACCATCACAGTACTCAAGAAATTCAGTCAACATAAAGCATTATTGTAATAAATTGAACATGTCCACATATAACCACAGTGATAGCACAGCTTACTTGTGGAGTTTCCTCAATGAAAGTAGAATTAAATAATTATTTAATTTATCAAAGATGCAAGACTAGGAGTTTTGCTGTGAAGTCTTTTCTCTGTCTGTTGCCAACTCAGTAGATGGAATTTATTTCAAAATGTTTTAAGTTATATGCTTGTTGCTGATATTTCTTTCCTAACAACTGTGAGAACATTTATATTCTATGTTATGAGAAGTACTATATTTATATACCATTTATAAGAAAGAAATTCAAAGAATTGACTTTACTTTGTATTAACTAGCTTTTTTGTCTCAAATTGAAAAGAGAAATAGTACCAAACAATGCTTCTTTGATAGACTAAATTGGCTAAATTTTAACTCAGAGTTAAAAATAATTCTGAACTTTATCTGTGAGCTCTGCTTCTTTCAGATTTTTCCAATTTCTAAAGAAATATACTTCAAATTTTAATAAATCATTTAATTAACTTATTTAGTTGTTAATGAGCACAGGTTAATTCTTTTGGTTGTCTCATTCTTTTTGCATTTGATCATTATAATAAACCTATGAGGGTTATTTTACTCCTTTCAAAGATGAGGACCCAGAAGTAATGCAAATAAAGTACTAACTCAATGTCTAATCTATACTAATTGCTCAGTAGATGCTAGCAATATTGAGTCCTCACATTTTGGATTATTTCTGTATTTCACATTCTTATAAAGGTCCAAGAGTCATATACATACCTACTTATACTGAAATGGATACAGAAACATTTAAAATTTATAAACCATCTGTAAATAGGAATAATGTCCTATCTAAATCTGATATTCCATGTTAAATTTTAGATGTTTTACCATATCTAAGATGCCATCAATTATATGAAATGCTATTTTAGTATTACTGTTCTGGTTACCTAGTGCCACTCTGACAAGAATATACCACAAATGGGATGGCCTTAACAAACCGGAGTTTATTCTTACAACTTGGAGGTTTTAAGTTCAAGTTCAAAGTGCCAGGCTCTAGGGGCTATGTGAAAGCCCCTAAACCTTGGGGTTCAGATCTGCCTCCTGCTCCAGGCCCACTGGAGCTTGAGGCATTTCTTCACTCAGACAGCTGCTGGCTGCTGAGGCTGACAAACCCAAGGTTGACAAGTGAAAAGGCACAGTCCCCATGTTACCAAACTACATGGCAGGCCATTAACTCAAGTCCATTGAAAGTCCCAAGGTTCGTAGCGCATAGCAGGCTACTGAACAATGACATGGCTATGCAGGGTCCAAGTATGCCATAAGCTAGAGACCATTCCCCAAGGCTTCTGCTTATACACATTCCTTAAAGTAGTTACTCACCTGCTCACAATAGATTCCACCATGGAGTTGATTATTAGTCTCAACATGGGGAATACTACATCCAGCTGCCCAGCCACTCAACCAGGCCCAGCCAAGTTGATACACAAACTGAATTACCACAATTACTAAGAAATAAAATGTTGCCAATTAAAATACCATCAATAGTAGGGTGCATTTTAGATTTTAGAAATATTAAAATGTGAAAAAATGTGCTTCTTAGAATCAATGAAATATAGTAATTAGTTTTGCAAAACAAATTAGTCTGCTGCAGCTATTTGGATTGTTTAATCACTGAACATTTAGAACATTATACACTGTGTTTTAAACATTTGTCAAGTTGTTCATAAGTTTATAATCAAATAATACTAAGTTCTTATTTAGAAGTAATTAAAAAATAACCAAAAAATGTACTACTTAGTAGTTGGCTTAAAACCTAATGGAACTTGTAAGATACTCAAAACCTGCAAATCATCAAATCATACATTTAAGGAGTTTTTAGTCTCTTAGATTGATTTTGTAATTTTATTTCAAATCAGCTCAGTTGAGGTTCAATATAACATCACTACATTAATAGACTTTGAGTCAATGGTGTATGGGTGCCACAGAACAACAAAGACTTCCAACAAATTAAAGACCTGGAGTCCTGCAAAATGGAATATTATGGTCAATGGGAAATGGACCCTCTCAGTTGACAGCACTACAGCAGAGACGTTAGCTTTGGTGAAGTTCCAAACATTTTCTGGCATAGTCTGAGATAAGAAAAGCTTGCAGAATTTATTAACATTTTTGGATTCTCAGAGAAAAATTAGTTTGCTTGAGAACACAGCATGAGATTACATGCATTGTTGACATAGGTGTGAGAAGTTCCATCAGTAGGCCAACTGATTTCAGGATATGAGATTTGATTGCCTTTACTGCAATCTAAGTTCTTATAACAAGTTTTTATTTTTTTCAGTTTTGCTTCTGCAGACACAAATCACAGAGGTTTGGCTTTCTCTATAAGCCTCACACAGCTCTCAAATCCTCTTAAGAATTTTTGGAGATTTAGAAAGTGTTATTGACAAGAAAAGCAAAACTTGAATGCTGTTGTTGAACAAGTTTAATTGTATCATATCCTATTTGTAAAAAGGTAATATTAATTCATTTGAGAGATGCTCTAAGATTTTTTGAGTAAATGTGAACTTTGGACAACAAGCACTTTATAATTAGCTATAGATGGGAACCACACTTGAATAAGAAGGCTAGGTGTTAAGACTGACATCACACTTTTTTTCTCATTAGCATGGTGGTAGAGAAGAAAGAGCCAGTTTTTTTTTTTTTTTTTGAACTAGTTAGAATTTCATATATGTTAGTTCTACAGATCATTTCTTTATACATTCCTGCTGAATCTATAATTAGATAAGTGATTTACACAATTGTTCCAGACTCATGAAGATGAAGACTTCTGTAAAAATACAACTTCGGTTAATGTGGAAGAAAAATCTGAGGCCTCTAAGCCACGTGACCACCACCACCATCATCATGAGCAGGGGCATCGGCATCTTGGGAACAGTCAGCCTTCAGAGAATCAGCAAACAGGTGAACCAGAGGCTCCTCAGCATCCCCCTCCTCCAGGCCTTCATCACCACCATAAGCACAAGGGCCATCAAAGACAGGGTCACCCAGAGAACTGAGATATGCCAGGAAGTGAAGGTTTACAACTTGCCCTTCCACGAAAGAAGCTCTGACCAAAGGGATGTATAAATCAATTACTCTGAAAGTTGCCCAAAGATTCAGAGTTGGCCCCTAGTAGCTGATGCTGACATTGCCGACATCTGATATTTGAAAAAACAGGGTCTGCAATCACCTGACAGTGTAAAGAAAGCCTTCCATCTTTATGCAGCTGACAGGGACTCCTGG